CTCAGAGTCATTAGCTTGTTCATTATAGTTTCAAGCCAGAGTTGTGTGAGGCATGCACAGCTGTGCCCTTAGTTATTCTTTCCCAAGTACTAGCAATAGGAGCATATACAGCATCCTTCATACTAAATTCTTTTTGAAACTCTTCCACAGCCACATCTCACTGCACTACTACTAGCTTGTTGATCAAGAAAGTTTCTTTATATTTACTCTATAGTTTATAAATCTACAGATATGATGGTCACATGGTTGAATTAATGAAGTATCTTTTGGGAGAAAGTACATGGCATAAACATTATTTTTATGAGAATTTCAGTTGGAGGATGAGCAGAATGCATTGCGAAAAAGTAAAAAAAATCTTGTATCATCCAGTCCAGTTTTCCCACAGTGAGCATGAGTCATGTGTATAAAATGTTTGTGAAACCAATGAGAAGAGATGTCCCTTATGATCAATGACTTTTGTTAACATAATACTAGACTGGTAAGAAATTCACCCCTTTTAAAATGGTAAGAACACAGGCTTTCCCTGTCACAGCAAGTTTATACTTATGCACGCCTGGTGCTTTAGCGTATCCCAGCCATTATTTTGTGCTTGGCATCCCTAATTCCTTTAGGAGACATTTCTTCAGCTATAGTGTCTGCTGGGGCAATAAAACCAAAACCCTGATGTTTTATCAGCATTTTGACTTGTTCTAGTGTCAGTTTCATCTGTGATGACCTTGGCAATCTCATAAAGGAATTTCTCTGCTACTTCATGATCAGGAGATGATTTATCACCATAAATATTTAAAAATTAAATGTGATTTCTTTTTCTACATCTCAGCAATAGCCTGTCAAATATTCACAGTTTCCTTCAATATTCAGTTAATTATGATAATTCTGTGCTTGTATCGGGATCACCATACCATTAAGTGGTATGTCTTCATGGTTATGCTGCTGGATTTTCTTTTAATTCACAGTTGAGATCTTTGTTTTCAGCTTTATGTAGTGTTTTTTTATTTTTCATTGACTTCAGATCATCACTTTCAGCACAGAACTTCAACAGTATATCCATCTGCTTCTTCAAGTCATATAGGAAGGTCATTCCAACAGCATATTCTTCTGTAAGACATTTCCCATTTACACCACCTTCCAGTTTCTCCAACAGCTTGACCTGTGCTATAAACATAAATGCTTATTTTTTTTTACCCCTAGGTATATTTTATGGTCTTTCTGACCTTTTCCACAATATCTTTGCACCACAGAGTAAAGAATTAGGGAAAAAAATAAAACTACAGTGAGTAATGCATGCAGGTTTGAGGCCCTTGTAGGAGAATCTGGACATGTTCAGAGAAGACATACTAGGGTTGAAGGGGCCCTGTGAGGTTTTTTTCCCTTAAGAACACAAAATAAGCCATTTTTGTCTGGATACCTTTTGACTGCAAACACAACTAGAGGTCAGGTATGAAATTTTCTGTTTGTGGCATTAAGATGGGACTCAAAGTTTCAGATTTTAGAGCATTTCAAATTTTCAGATTTTAGAGCATTTCAAATTTCAGATTTTTGGATTAGAGATACTCAACCTATAATTTTAACCTTATGAAATCAATTAGTAGTGCTTCTTGTACCTTAATTTTCTGGAGGATTTTTTTACAGAATTGGCACTATTTTTGTCTTAAATAGAGAATTTACCAAAAACCAACTGACCATGAAGTTTTAGGTATTCATATTAGCCAGCTTTCCCATCACTGGACATAGTACCTGACACCCACAATTTAAAGGAAGAGAGGTTTATTTTGGTTCATGGTTTTCAGAGGATTCTGTCCACGGTTTGCTGGTTCCAAGGCAGAACCACAATGGAACAGGCCATGGTGGAGGAACATGGCTCATTCCATGGCATCCAGGAATCAGAGAGTGACAAAAGGAAGGAGATGGGGCCACGTCACACCCCTAGACCTGCCTCCCCTGACTAGGCCCTACCTCTGAACTCTATGATCTGCTACTTCATCATCAGGAGATGATTTATCACTACAAATATTTAAAAATTAAATACTATCTCTCCTTTTAGACCTTTGGGGACATTTTAGATCTAACCATAATGTACCACTGTGGCCTTCAAAAGGTTCATGTCCATTTCATTATGCAAAATACATTTAATTCATCTCTAAGAGTTGCCAGTATTTAACAGTTCCAGTACTGTTGAAAAGTTCAAGTCAAAAGTACCTTCTGAGACTCAAGGGAAACTCTTGCCTGTGAGCCTACATAAAAATGAGCCTGTAAAGGTGGGTCTGGGATGCTTTCAAACAGTCTTTCCTATTGTCCTAATGTAAAATACTCAACTTCTTTTCTTTATTAATCATTTTCAGCAACCATGCTTTCCTGCTTGTCCAGTTTTGAAGGTACTTTCTTTCTATTGAAACTGCAAACTTTTCAAATCATTCACTGTTTTTCTCCTATATATCTGGCCAAAAGTATCCAGTCATAGCCACATCACAGCTTGGGAGTTGGGCTTCCTTGAAATTAATTTTCTCTGTCAAATTAATTAGCTTACCACTCTTAATATTAGTCTCCTATAAAGTCTCATTTTTTAAAAAGCAAAACTAAACATGCATGACCTCTAGTCATGGAGTCCTTTGTCCAAATCAATACCTCTTGAGCATGTCCTTTACTGTCCACCTTCCTAACAGCATTCTGGCCTTCGGAATGTCCTTCATTATCACCCATCAAACTCAATTTGTAACATCTAGCCTACATCTCCAAAACTTTCCAAACTCCTCTTACAAACCAGTTTCAAATGTTTCTAAACCACATGATAGGTATAGTCACACAACAATCCTACTCTCAGTACTCATTTTCTGTAATTTGCAGCTTTTCTGTCACTAAACACAATACCCAAAACCTACAACTTAACAGAGGAGAGGTTTATTTTGGCTCACAGTTTTTAGGGATTCAGTCTTTGGTTGTGAGTCTCTAAAGCAGAACAACGTGGCTGAAGGGCATGGTAGAGAAAAACAGCTCACATCCAGCCATGATAGTCAGAAAGTAGAGTGAGAAAAGGAAAGAGCCAGGACTAAGAATATACCCTTCCAGGTTTGTCTCCAATGACCTGAAACCTCTGACCAGGACCCACTGTAAACACAAGACATTTGGAGAACTATGGTTTAGACCTAAACCATAATAGGATTTGGGGGTTTTAAAATTTTTGTTTTAGTGGAAAGATGTTACATCTGAATTTAATATCTTTAATAGATGTAAAAAGATTAGATAATTTCTTAAATTGAGCTTTGGTATTGTGTATCTTTAGAGAAATTTTTCCATTTCATTCAGATATTAAAATTATGAGCATAAATATATTTATAATGGTCCATAACATCTTTTTAAATGTATATAAGATTCATTCCTGATATTAATAGTCTCTTTTCTTTATACTTGATCCATCCAGCTAGAAGTTTGGGATTTTTGTTAATATTTTCAAAGAACTATTGATTTTTCTCTACTGTTTTTGTGGGGTTTTTGTATTTTGTTGATTTTGGTTTATCATTGTTTTCTTCTTTTCACTAACTTTGGGTTTTGTCATCTTAAAAATAATTTCTTTAAGGTGGAAATTACTTCACTGATTTGCATACTCTAAGTTCTTTAGTGTAAATATTTAAAGTTGGAAAGTTTCACCTAAGCATCTTACAACTAGTATTTATAAACATCCTATGTGTCTTCTAAAGCTGCATCTTACAAATATTTACATTTTGTTTTGTTTGTAGTTAATGAAAACATTTAAAAATTACCCTTTGGATTTCTTTGACTCACATAGTTTTAGTTTAGTTTTATAAGCCTTTTGTTTAATTTTATTATTATTATTTTGCAATCCCTTTCTGATAATCCCTATCATCTTGTTTTCTTCTTCTAGTCACTATCTTCATTCTTCACAGTTCATATTTTTTTATCAGAAACAGTCATTGATTTGATGATTATTTTGATTACATGTAAATCCATAAATATCATGAACTCCTATAAGAGAACATACCTCTTTTGTCTTATTGTCTAGTGTGGGGGGCTAAATCATCCAATTTTTAGTTAAACTCAATTGGGATTGTGTTATACCTTTAATTAAATGTAGTTTATTCTTGGCTTCAGATTCTTCCTTCCAATCAGTTGTGAGGCTCTACCTTCATATCAAGAAGGTGAATTTTTGAAGTTATATGATCTTGGTTAGAACAAGTATGCAAGCTAAACTCCATTCTGGGAATAAAAACTGGGTCCTCTGTGTCCACAAGCACAGGCTCTGAATCATAATGGAGTAGGTGTACAGAACCTGAAAAGGTTCCTTTAACTTACTTAACATTCTCCCAGCTTCAGCTCATGTCTAGCTAGCTATTTACTATAACACTTTTAGGATAAAGTCAACTTTCATTTCTGCAGAGCTTGAGGTCTGAGAACCAGCTAGATATTAGATATAGCTTTATGCTTTATATCCTAAATGCCAGAGCTCTCTTTGCTTTACAGCCTTTAAAATGGGACATTAGGGAGTTTCTTTTTTCTCTCCAGTTCTCCCTGGCTTTGTGGGCCTTGAAAGACTTCTTCAACCCTACCTCTCTGCTGCCAGCACTCAGCATCTGCTACCCTGCCAGTGATGAAGGGTAAGCAAGCCTTTGAGATATTTCCTCCTTCTTTGTCCTACACTCTAAGCATCTGTGAATGAATCAGAAGATTTGTCAGTGGATGTTATGGCTTGTATCTAGATGTTCCCGCCAAATCTCATGTGCTCATGGGAGGGGCTTTTCAGAGGTAGCTGGATCTAGGGTATGTGAATATGGGTTAATGGTGTGTGATAACTAAATTGGTTTAGTATAGTTCTGGATATGTATAATGGAAGCCCCACCCTGGATGAGGGTGGCACCAGTCAATAGGCTTGTATCCTGGATGGAATATAAAGGGACATAAAGAAGGCAGGCTGCTGTTGCTGCCTCCTATGTCCCCTGCCATGGACTGTTTCCTCTCTGCCATGCCCCTCTACCATGCTGCCCTACCTTGGAGCCAGCAGACTATGGACCGAAACCTCTACAAACTGTAAGACAAAATAAACCTTTCCTCCTTTAACTTGTAGATATCAGGTACCTTACCCCAAGAATGAGAAAGTAACCAAATGAAGATTTCTCTCTTTTTATCTTGCCTTCAGCCATCTATTGGAGAGCCTTCCCAGAGTAAGTTGGAGGGTTTTCTCTACTCTCCTGTTCTACCAACAGGCTTCAGCCTACACTGTTATACCCTTGATTAGGCCTTCAGGAAAGTGTTACTGGGTGAATATAGACTTGAGATTCTAATTCATCTCATGTGCCCACAAGAACATTAGAAGTTCATTAAAATTTTAGCTGTTTTTTTCTTCCTATGTTTGTCTATTATGAATTTCTTCACATCCTACACTCCTCCAAATCTGAAAACACTCATATGTTTTTTTATCCTAGGATGGGCCCAACTTGTTTGAAATTTAATTCATTCAGCTATTTTTTGTACTGTTGGTGCTCTCATTCTTTAAAAAGAGACAAAACTAAGATTTCATTGTTTATCCAGCTTGTTCTCATTGTTAAGATAGGAACAACAATCTTCTGTGGTTTTACATATCTTAACTGGCACTGGAGGTTCTCCCATTGGAATTTTTCCTGGAAAATATAATTAAGCTAATTAATCATTTTTGCAAAAGTTGATCCTTCAAAATATATAAAATTAACATCTGAAATACATTCTAGTGGTCCACTGAAACGTTTATGTGATTTGATCTGGTTCCCATTTTGAGTTATTCATCTTTACATGTAAAAAAATGTTTATAAGAATAAGAATATTTGAAAATGATAGCATTTTTTATTTGAAAAAGTAGAAGAAAAACCAAATTTTATATAATAAATTTTATACAATAATGAATGGTTAGATGCATCATAATTCTTTCCTAGGTTGAAATATTTAACAAGAAAGAAAACAAATCAAATTTTTGAAGCCTATATAATAATATGGGAAAATATTTAGATTTTCTTCCAAGAGCTGTACATCAAGCATGGATACACAAAATATACATTGTTCCTACTTGAATGGAGCTTAAAACCTAGTGGAAGAGAAAAAATGTCAACAAATATCTGGTCATAAACTTTGATAAAATACCAAGCAAATGAAAAAGCTACAGATCTCTAACTAATATCAGGTGGTACAAAAGGCCTCTCATAGTTAAGATAAGATATTAATAATAATTACAAAGATATTGCAATATAATGAGTCATAGGAGTAACACTGCAGACAGTGGGAACAGTGAAAATCCAAAGGGGAACTGGAGCTTCAGATAGCTTTGAAATTAAATTCAGCAAATTGGGGAATTGTGGTATGAAAGTTTGAATGAGTAGCCAGGAAACTGTTAATTCACAATTTTAAAAGTTTTAAAAGACTTTGAAAGTAAGGTGCTTAGATTAGTTTCTTAATTCAAGTGTTTCTCACGTAAATGTTGGTATACATTTTATTAATAATCTGGTGTAAAAAAATATCTCTTTTGAAAGAAGAATTGATGGAAAAGAGGAATTATTATTTTTTTTCTTATATAAGAATAAGGCCAGACAGGAGGCCATCTAGTTGTCCAGGTGAGGACGGAAAGTGGAGTAAATAGGTTACATTCTTTCTTATAAATAATGGCCAGATCTGCAACATATTTTATACTAGTAGGACTTTCTGATAATTTGGTTGGAGGCATGAAAGAGAAAGAACCTGGAATTAATTTTCAGGTTTGTGGCATAAGAGAAGTGTGGGATGGCACTAATTTCTGAGAAAATGTAGAATGAGGGAAAGCGTGGGAAAAAGGAAGCTATAAATGAAGTACTTGGATTTGTTCATCATAATATCTAAGTGGGGATATCAAGGAGGGAGTTGTGTTGGAGCTGGAGGGAGTCTAGGCTCAGGCTAACTTTTGAGGTTGTGAGTACATACTAATGATATAGGGCACCAAGTAATCCAAATAAGGGAAATATTGTAACTCTCAACTTACTAGATATCTGAAATGTTGAGTTTGTGTTCTTTAAAACTGAAGAATGAATTCTAGGAACAATGGAGGTCAAGAGAAGGAAGAATTTATTTAGAGAAAGATAACTTCTGTCTAAGAGTGACAGAAGAGGGACTAGAAAGTGGGTTGCCTGCCCATCCCACTTTTCAAAGATGTTTTATTGAGCAAAGCCATGAGGTGAGATGGCTTCCATGTGGGACAAAACTATAGTCAACTAAAAAGTTTACAAGTATAGCCGCTTTGGTAATGATCCAGTGGGAAATCATGAGGTGGGACAAAACTATGATCAACCACTAAGATTATAACAAGTTTAGTCACTTAGGTAATATTGATTAGATAGTGATCAAATGGGGAAGCTAGTCACTTAGCAAGCATGCATTGACTGAACAAGGATTTCCAGGAAGGAATGGGCTAGGGAGGTTTTGGTTCCCATCCAAGGTGATTGCTACCTATTTAGAATATCAATCACTTCTATTCATTCCTAAGGAACCTATGTGGGTGTAGTTCTTCCTTTTTGAATCCTGACCTTTTAGTAAATGTGTCTCAGTTTTTTTGTGTGTGCTGAGGGCCTACTCCTGCCTAACTGACTTATAATATTTTTCTAACTAACATATCTGTCTACAGTACTAACTTGTGTGCCATGATACTATTTGAGACAACTTGGTATTGGTGTCAGTTATTCATGTAACCTACTGTTTCATTTTTACCTCCTATGTCTAACAGAAATTTCAAGTTTCTGCCATATGGGGTAACTATATTAGGTTTCTATTGCTACTGGAAAAAATTACAATGACTAAGAATATCCTTCAATATCACCACATTTTCCACTAGATTTATTATTCTACAGCTTCTACAATTCAAAAACTTGGGTGGGATCCCTTGGATTTTCTACTCTGGGCCTCACAAGACCAAACTCAATGTGTTGGTTAAACCAAGCTCTTCTCAGGAGGATGTGTGGGAATGTGGGCTCCCTATTTCTTTGTTTCCTGACAGCCAAGGCCTGCTGTTTGGTCCCGAAGCTTTTGCATTTCCTTTCATGTGGCCTCCACAGCATCAAAACCACAACAGAATTTTGAGTCCTCCTCACACCTCCAGCTCTCTGCCCTCCTCCCTACTCCTCTCTTCTACTTTCAAGAGATGGCATGATTATATTGGGCCCACAGATAATCTAGAGTAGTTTTTCTACCTAAAATCAATTGATTGGTAATATTAACTGGATCTGTAATGTTCCTGTTCCCTGTAATATAACATGATCAACAAAAGGCAGACATCTTGGGGAAAATTTAATCTATCACAGCAACCTTCTCAGAACATGTGAAAAGAAATAAGAGAAAAGAAAGTGGGTAATAGAGACAAATACAAATTTAGAGAACTCAGTCACTTGATCTTCAACCAAAAGCCTAAGCTGATTACTGTTATTTTAACTTAACAGACACACAAATAATAAAACAACTAAGATCACTTATGATAAATATTCCCTAAAAGATGAACTGTTATACAGAGAATGATTTAAAACCTAATAGGGTTTATATCATAGACATTTTTGTGGCTTACATGTAAAATTACCTAGAAGAAATGGTATTCTGATAGTTTGTTCAAAATTAAAAAGAGGAGAAAATAAATAGTAAATGAAAAGATTAGATGAATTAGATTTTATAACAGAAAGAAAGAAAGAAGGAAAGAAAGAAAGAGAAAAGAAGGAGGAAGGAAGGAAAGGAGGGAAGCAGGGAGGGAGGGAAAAATTACCAGTTGAGTACATTTCTGTGAGCCAAAGAAGCAAGTTAATTAAACACATGGTCACATATAATTTATAAAGGTTCATTGAACGGGGTCAAGGTACATGTTTGTTTATCTGATTTATGTCATATTTGGGGTGAACCATGAATGAATAGAATCTTTAGAGTATATCTCCTGAAGCTACAATTATGTTTCTATAATTATAAGACTATATAGACATTGTTCCAAGAAGAACAAATTAATCTGAAAAGTCCAGTAGGACTGCGCAAACAGTGTGGCTAAGGAGCCATCTATGTCTTGATTGTTTCAATTGATGCTCATACTCGTGCTTCATACTACATTGACCTATTATCTTTCAGTTTGAAAAGCTAAATGGCACCAGGACAAACAAAATTTTTTAAGAAACTGAGAACTTCTGGAAAAGATAACAGTGTAAAAGCAAATTTTCTGACCTTTTTCCTGAAAAATGTTACAAACAGCCAATTTTTAAAAGGGCAGAGGAAGGAAACCACATCATAATGTGGGAAATTAAGCAGCAATCAAAAAGTATAAGGAACTTTAGTTCTGTAGAGAATAGATTAGATAAAAAAGAATGGATTTACCAAAATACAATTCCCTTAATAAAAGAGACTTAGTGTTGGGGCTGAGTCTAACTTTGACCTTTTTTGTTCTGCTGTAATCAATAAATGAAATACAAAATGATAAGACAACAAAGTGAACCGAAAAATTAGTTGTGAGGACTAAAGAAAGCATTGAAACTAAGACATAATGTCAATCTTGATGATAGAGGATATCAATTTATTTAGCCAGTTTTAGACTTGAGAAAAATTACCTAGAAAAAAGGAAAAAGTAAGAATAGAGCAAATGTGAAACAAAAAAGGTGCTAAATACAGTGGTGCCTCCATATGAATTATTAGGTTTTCTTTAAACAACATTCTTGAACTGAAGAATTACTTGTTTCTGCATCTCATAATTATTCAATATATATGTTATAAGCAAATTTCCTGGAAAAAATGATTAATAATACTAATCAAATATTGATTTGTATGATCCCAATCAGCACCAAAAATGTTCATTGGTTTCTAGAGAATAAATATTGAAGAAAAGGTAAAGCTAAATATTGGGCAAAAGTACCATGATATTTTAAAACCTATTACCTTTGTTGAAAAAAATACTACCCTAAATACATAATAAATTTTGTTTTTGTTTTAAAAATCATTAAAAGAACTGGTTAATTCTCCAAACCAAATACACTTGGTCAATTTTTTGTTTTCTTTTAAGAGACCCCAAGAGAGGC